CTGATCGGGCGGGGGGAGGAGTGGTTAGAGCGGGGGGAGGGGGCGCGCGGGGCTGTGAGCCCCGACGCCTGGGCTCTCTCCAGCTCTGGGAGGGGAAGGGGGCTGGGGGGGGCGAGCAGGGCTAAGGGAGCTGAGAGCGCGGACGCCTGGGTTCTGTCCCCAAGTTTGGGAAGGGAGGGCAGGCAGGAGCTCGGATGCCTGGGTTCCTAGGAGAGGACACAGGTTCAGGGGATGGAAGCAAAGGGGGGCTGGGAGTCGGACACCTGGGTTCTCTCAAGTTGTTGGAGGGTGGTGAGGTGAGGTGAGGTGAGGTGAGGCAGGCTGGGGGACTGAAGCTCTTGCCAGTCACTTCCCCAGGGTCCCCGTGCAAGGGAAACTCCTGTCACAGATTTTCTCATGAGGTTTGTGTGTCACATGCTGCTCTCTGGTGAGGCTGGGGGAGACGGTTTACTGGGGCTGGACAGCAGCCCAGGGCATGGAGGGCATTGGCCTGGCCCCACGTCTCCCCAGGCAGGGACCCCCTGAGCTTGAGTTGTGGTGTGATGGGGCCGCGGGTGTGCTCAGTTCCAGGGCCCGCGTGGGGGGCCTTCGAGGTGGATGTGTGGCCAGTGGAAGCCGTGGTACCATTCGGTGGGACACTCCAGCTGAACTGCAGCACCACATGCCTGGATCCCAGCACCCGCGGCAGCCTGGAGACATCCCTTACCAAGGGCCAGAGCAAAAATGGGACTGGCTGGGTGGCCATGGAGCTGGTGGATGTCACAGAGTGGGAGTCTTCCCCCCTGTGCTACTTCAACTGCGGTGGCACCAAGAAGACAACAGCAGCACGGATTTCACTGTACCGTGAGTGCCAGGCTGCAGAGCTGGGGGGGTCAGAGGCCCATGAGGAGGGGGTGTCGCCACAGAGAATGCCTCTTTGCACGGGGGTGAAAACACAGATCCGGGGCAGAGCAGGTCTTGGGGACTGGGCTCCATGCTGCAGCTGCCTGTTATTCTGGGTCTTGGCAGGCTGTGCATGGCTGTGTGGAGGCTCATGGGTATGTAACTGGGAGGAGCCTCCATGAACAGCCACTGGCTCCCACACTGTGCCCACCAAGGCAGGGGTGGGCTGGGCACCTCAGCCACATGCCCCACTGCAGGAGTTGTTTCCCTCATGCTGCTACTGGAGTCTCTACCCTATTCCAGGAGTGCCAGAGCAGGTGATACTGGAACTGCCACCTGTGCTGGAGGAGGGCAAGACCTACCCTGTGACCTGCTGGGTGAGCAATGTGGCGCCCATGAGGAACCTCACTGTGACCCTGCATCTCGGGGGCAAAGTGCTGCACGCGAACATCCAGGGGGATCCCAGGGTCGGTGCTACTAACATCACAGCCACCTTCAACATGACAGCGCAGCACGGGTACCATGGGCAGGACATTGCCTGCCACACAGAGCTGGACCTGCGGCCCCACGGGCCTCTCCTCAAGAACACCTCTGCCCCCATCAACCTCAGTGTGTACAGTAAGTCTCCTTCCCTGTGAGTTAGAGAAGTGGGGGCTGGGTGCCCAGATGCTTGGGTTCTCTCCAGCTCTGAGAGGGGAGTGGAATCTGCTAGGTTAGGGGCATGGGCTAAAGCAGTATTTCTCAATCCATGGGTCACAACCCAGAAGTGGGTCACAAAAATATATGAAAGGGTCACAAACAATCTTTAAAAATGGATTCTCCTTTAAAGGAAAAAAATGTGGGAAATGGTGACGTTTCCCTTGCAGTCTGTCAGAGTTCCAGCTTGGAAGGGGTTGCTTGGGGCCCCCCATACCTCCCCCCACACACACCCCTGCCTCATACACTCTGGGGCTAGGGCCTGGGGCAAAGAGGAAGCAGGTTGGGAATGAGGGGCACTGGGTCAGGACTGGCCATTGATGCTTACAAATGGGTCCTGGTACAAAAACGGTTTAGAGCTACTGGGCTAAAGAACCTAGCATAGCAGCTCTCATTTTGCTGCCTGGCTGGTTCTAGCCCAGCCCAGGGCTGAGACATGAGCTCTGCCCTCTGGGGCTTCCCTCTACCAAGACAAACACCAGGGAGGAAACTGAAGCATGGAGAGATGATATGACCTGGCTGGGAGACACCCAGGGGGCAGTGGCAGAGGCCTCCAGCTGCCTGCATCCTAGGCGGGGGCTCTCTCCAGCTTCCTTCACAGCCAGGGCTGGTTCCTTTCACACCCTGCAGCCTTCCCAGCAGCCCCACAGCTCCGAGCCCCCCACCGCGTGGAGGCTGACACAGAGGCAAACGTCAGCTGCTGGGCATCTGGTATCTTTCCGGCTGTGGTGGCCCAGGTCAGCCTGCGCCTTGGGAACCAGAGCCTGGAGGTCTCCATCGCTACCTCAGGGGACATGGTAACAGCCCAAGCCACAGTGCGGTTCCTGGAGCCTGGAAAGCAGGAGCTGCACTGTACTGTATCCATGGGGCCTGTCACCAGAGCCACTGAGGGCCGTGTGGATGTTTATCGTGAGTAACCAGGACCCTGCCCAAGCCGTGGTGGGGCCAAGTGACACTGCCCCCTGTGCAGCCTGACCCTGCTCTGCCTCACAGGCTTTCCTGCCCCCATCCTGGAGCTCAGCGACCCTGAGCCCCTTGTGGGCACCAATGTCACCCTGACCTGCCACTCCCCAGCCACCAACCCCCCTGGCGTGTGGCTGCAGTTGCATGAGGCAGAGCAGATCCTGGCATCTGGGTCACAGCCCCAGCTCCAGCTCATGGTGCACAAGGGGGACCATGGTCGCCAGTTCATGTGTGACGCAAATCTCACTGTGGGCAGTGGGACCGTGGTGAAGAGAACATCTGCTCAGCTCACCGTGCGCTGTGAGTCCTCATGTCTGCTCTCTGCTGCCCCAGGTTCCTGGGAGCCCTGACACGTGGGTTCTTTCTCTGCTCAGGGAAAGGAGTTGGGTGTGGGGGCTGAGCAGAGTTGTGACCCTGGACGCCTGGGTTCTCTCAAGCTCTGGGAAGGGAGTGGGGCCTGGTGGGGGGTCAGGGGCTAGAAGCCTGGATGCCTGGGTTTCACATCCAGTTCTACCTCTGGCATTGAGAAGTCACTCCCTAGTCTATGGCTTGGTTTCCCCATGTACTGCCTGCTATCATCATCCCAGCGTTTGCTGACCGCTAGGCCAGATCCAGCAGGGAAAGCTCTGGCCAGGGGGGATGGGGAAGGGAGGAGCTGTGTCCCATGTAGGATGTGTCTCTGGGTGTCAGCCTGGACCCCACCCACAAGAGATGCCTTCCTTCTGTCCCCTGTGCCTCAGCACCTCCAGAGCTGCCTGAGGCCAGCTGCCCAAGTACCCTGACATGGGTGGAGGGGACGCAGCGCGCCCTCCACTGTGTGGCCACAGGGGTCCCAGCACCGGCCGTGGCCTGTTCCAAAGATGGCATGGAGCAGCAGGTGGGCACAGAGCTGCAGGTGACCCGTGACCACGCCGGCACCTACATCTGCCATGCCAGCAATGCACTGGGCACCCAGAACCACAATATCATGGTCCACGTGGAATGTGAGTGGCAGCACCATAGGGACCACAGCCAGTGGGGTAGGCCAGGAGAGATGCTACAGCCCAAGTGTCCAGCCACCCACAGGGGCCTTCATGTGGGGAGATATGGACCCTGGGAGCTCCCCAGGCAGAGCTGGGGGCTGGTAGGGAGGGATCCATCATCTTCAACCCACGAGTAATGGCAGGAGCGTGGAAGCCTCAGGGACCTGTCTCCCTTGGACTTGCTGCAGCTCTTGAGAGAACATGGCAGGTGGAAACATGACCTGAGGTCCATAGACAGTCCCTGCCTGGCCCTCTCCACCTTCCCTGAGGCCTCTGGGGAAGTCAGGCATTGTCCCATGCGTTCCCCTCCCCACCACAGACCCGCCACAGATGGATGATGCCGGATGCCCCCCACAACGCACGTGGCTGGAGGGCCAGCAGCAACAGCTGGTGTGCGTGGCTGATGCCAACCCCAAGGCCAACGTGGTCTGCAGCCTGGACGGACAGCCATATGACATCACCCAGAAGCAAGGCACCATGCGGGGCCAGGCTGGCATCTACCAGTGCCGTGCCACTAACACCCATGGATCCACTGCCCGCAACGTCACTGTCAGGGTAGAGTGTGAGTACCAGGGGAGCTGGGTTGGGGGTTTTGCTGGGGGGAGAGGGAGGTTGACCAGGGCTGTGGCCTTGAGGGGAGTACTACCCCATGGCCTGGCTACAGCAGATCCCAGCTCTGCCCCTTCCAGATGGGCCTGAGATGGACGACACCAGCTGCCCACAGAACTGGACCTGGGTGGAGGGGCTGGAGGAAGCCCTCACCTGCAAGGCCCAGGGCAACCCCACACCCAGCATCACCTGTAGCTGGAATGGGCAGCACCAAGCCCTTGAGGTGCCACAGCTGGTCACAAGGGAGCAGAATAGGACCTACATGTGCATCGCTGCCAACCATCATGGGAATGTCACTCGGGCTGTGTCTGTCCGTGTAGAGTGTGAGTGGCAGGCACCCACCATGCCCCCTACCCCCTCTCCCCTCCACCAGGCATTGCACAGACTGACCACTGCAACATGGGTTGGGGGAGCCCTGAGATCTGAGCACCATGGGGTGGGGGCCCCCGGAGACCTGAGCACCAGGGAATTCCTCAGTCTGTCTCCCCATGCCTTCTAGACAAACCTCACATGGACGAGTTGAGCTGCCCCAGCCACCAGACGTGGCTGGAGGGGACAGAGCTGGCACTGGCCTGCAAAGCTGATGGAGAGCCTCCTGCATGGGTCCAATGCACCCAGGATGGGACCATGCGGACACTGACTGGGTACCACAATGCCTCCAGGAATGACTCCGGCCTCTACTCGTGCATGGCCACCAACAGCCACGGCTCAGCACAGAGGGCGGTCACCGTACAGGTGGACTGTGAGTCCTGGCACCACAGGCCCTGTGCAGGGTGGGGAGCAGGGACATGGTACTTTCATGAAAGGGAAGGGCCCAGTCCCACCTAAGAGGGGCATGGCAGAAGGGCTCTGCAGCCATGGGAAGCTGAGTGAGTTAGAGTAGCACTGAGGCTGCTCCAGTTTATGCTGGAAGTCTGGCACAAGCCCTGCACTGGCAGCACTGCAGGCTCTGGAGAGATGGCCCTTCTGTGCTTGTACTCCCAGCCTGCCTCACCTGTGTCTCTGCTTGGTCCCAGCCTCCTTGGGTGGAGGCAAGGGTGGCTAGGAGCAACCAGGATCGTGCAAGTGACAGATGTGGTCTGACCCCCAATGGCACCAAGCACTGGATACATGGAGAGAAGAGAGATGTCCCCTACCCTGGTCCCAGGGCTGAGTGTAGAAGGAAACCCCCGCTTCCAGTCCCACAAGCCCCTTCTCTTCTGCAACCCTATCTCCAACTGTCTGGGCAGCCCCGTACACCAAAGAGAAGGCCAAGAGAAACAGGGAAGCACCCAAGGTTGTAGCAGGGCATTAATGGCAGAACTGGGAGCAGAGCCCACATCTCCCCAGCCTGCACCAGCTGAGGGATGGGGAGGGATGGCACCCTGGGGGCTGGGTCTAAATGGAGCATGGACCAGGGTCTGAGCTGCCTACAACTGCCACCCTCTCTTCCCAGACAGTCCCGTGGTCTTGGCCCTTGATGTCCAGCCATCCCCTACTGTCCTTCAGGGCTCTGACTTCAGCATCCACTGCAGCGCTGAGGGCTCTCCAGTGCCCACTTATAGCTGGGTGCTGCCCGTGGCCCCTAACCTCAACTACTCGGCTGACAACAGCACTGTGATGATATTGGGCGCTGGGGCTCACAACTCTGGGTCTTATGTCTGCACGGTTGCCAACTCCTATGGTTCGCACATTCGGAATATCACCATCCAGGTGGCAAGTAAGGATGCGGGAAAGGGGCTGAGGGCACAGGGGAGACTGGGGGTCCCTTCCTTTTTCCCTCAGGAAAAGCTGCTTTGCTGTCAGAGGAGGGAGGTAGTGGAAGAGACCCTCAGGGAAGCTGTGGCCTCTCCATCACTGAAGGGGTTTGAGAAGAGGGTGGAGAGCCCCTGGTGGGGGATGATCTAGGATCAGCTATGCCTGTGCTCTGCTGTGGGGATTTCCCAGGTATCTGGGCTTTGCTGGCTTGCTCCCCGCTCCCCACTTTTCTGCTACATGTGACAGGGGGGTTTTAAGCCTTCCCCAGAGGCACTGGGTGTTGGTTGCAGCCCAGGCTGGGGATGGGAACTGGGATGTGCCAATGCTCCTGCTCCGACTCAACCCCAGAGGTTCCTGGCTGGAGGGCATTGCCCCTCCACTCAGGGTGAGACCGACACTGGCTTGGGGTCAGGAAGGAATTTTTCCCCCAGTCAGATAGGAACAGACTGGGAGGGTTTTGCCTTGCTCTGTAGCAGGGACATGGTCTCCCTGGGATCTTTTGAGCATCTATTAACCTTGCATAGAAGCAGGACATTTGCAGCTGCAGTTCCCCAGCTTTCCATGCGGCAGGGTCAGGTGTGATGCCTGGTGCTGTGTCAGGGATGACGGTAGTTTTATGTAGAGGTTAGGTGATGGATGCATCTGAGATGGTTTGGACAGGGTTGATTCTGTCTCAGGGAGGGGGTTGGACTAGATGTAACCCCATAGGTCCCTTCCAGCCTGGATGTCTCTATGATTCTTCTCTCTCCTCAAATCCTGGAGCCACTTGAAGCCAGGGTAGTGCTGTGTGGGAGTTGTGAGCTTTTCTCTACTACTGCCCCACTCATTAACCTTTGTTATGTCTTCTTGTCTCCCTTCCCAACTCTGGCAGGAGGTTGGCAGTACGACCTGACAGTGGTGGCGATTGTGGTTGTTGTGGTGCTGGCTCTGGTTGGGACAGGCGGCTTCATTTACTACCTCAAGACCACTGCCTGCAAGAAGGGTGAGTACAACGTCCGTGATGCAGAGAACTCCTCTGAAGCCACCTGCCTGCACCGCGAGCCGCCGGCTGATGGGGAGGTCTACGGCATCCAGCTCACCCAGACCTGAGTGGGCCAGGAGCCAGCCTGACCCCTCCTGCTCTGCCCTGTCCTGGCCAGCAGCCCACAGCTCTCCAAGCCCCTTGGATCCCTGCTGGGCTCCTGTTCTGCAGCTTGTGGCCCTCCACAGGGGCTGGGCACTGTTGGCTCTGCACTGCTTCTGCCATTTCTCTCCTGCTCTCTCTGACTTTGGGAGGGAACTTTTGGCCTCAGTGATACCTGACAAGACGCCAGGAGATGCCTGTCTTCACAGGATGTGCCGGGATATTGTGTTGGGGTTCCCAGGGGTGGAGCTGGCAGCCCTCACTCCACCACCCACAGCACTGAGGTGCAATGAGTCAGTCAGGTCTCCGCTGCATCCCTGGCAGGTCCCTTGCACCCCCCACCCTCCCCTAATGTCCAAAGCAACTTTCACTTCCTCAAGTCCTGAAAACTCATGCCAGGAGGTCCCCTTCCCTGCAGCGCTGGTCACTGCTCACTCCTGGTCCCAGCCTGGGACCAGGGACCCCCAGTTCCCCCAGACAGTCTCCTCAGAGGTCTCCTTGGCCAGAGAAGCTGCAGATTCTCCATCAATGGAGGGGTTCAAGGAGAGGCTGGATAGCCCCAGCTGGGGAGGATCTAGGTGCAGCGATGCCTGTGCTCTGCTGTGGAGATTTCTGAGGCATCAGGGCTTTGCTGGTTGCCTTCTCCCCTTTTTCTGCTACCTGTATCAGGGTTTTTAAGCCTCCCCCAGAGGCGTTGGCTGTTGGCTGCAGCCCAGGCTGGGGGTGGTGGCTGGGCTGTGCCAATGCTGGGACCAAAGCCTGAAGTTCCTGGCTAGAGGGTCTTGCCCCTCTGCTCAGGTCAGACCAACACCAGATTTGGGGTCAGGAAGGATTTTAACCCATGGTCAGATCGGTATGGACTTGGGGGGAGGGGGGGGGGTTGCCTTTCTCTGCAGCAGGGCCATGGCCTCTGCCTGACATCTCTTGAATGTATATGAATCCCCTTTACAGCAGCAGGATGTTGGTGGCAACAGCCACCCTGCTGTCCCTGGGGCAATGTCTGGTGCTGTGTCAGGGGTGACTTGTGTTGCTCAGAGGTCAGACCGTGGGTTTGTCTCAGATGGTTTGGATAGGGCTGCTCCTGCCTCAGGCGGGGGTTTGGACTCAGTGTGCCCTCCGGAGGTCCCTGCCAGCACCACTTCTCCATGACTGTATGAATGCTGTGAACACAGCTCCAGCCCAGGGCTGAGCAGAGCTGCTGCATTACTGACAACTCTTGAGGGGCAAGAAGATTCTCCCTGTGCTGGCTGGGGGTGGGGGACGGGCCGCGTGCGTTATTTGCTGCCCGCCTGGTCTCTAGCAGCTGCTGCCTTCCACGTGGCGGGGATGTCTCAGGGATGCACCTGCAGCGATGGGGGGAGCAGAGAAACACCCCCCACCATGGCCTCAGCTTGTGGGTGGCGCAACCTCTCCTAGCAGCTGAGACCTGAGTCCTCTGGGGCTGAGGGTGCTCTGGGAGCTGGAGCACTGACACCTACCCTGCTGCCTTGGACCAGCCCCCAGCGTGGATCTGCCTGGCACAAGGGTAAGCTCTGACTTCCCTTCGCGGGGGAACTGTGGGAACGGCCCAGACAGCCTCAGGCTGGTGCCTCGCCTGCCCAGTGCTACTAGTTCTTGATGCAACTGCCAGAGGCCCCTTTTTTCTCCCACTATTGCACAAACAAAACAGGCAGCACTCAGGCTCCCTCCCCTGCCTTGGGCCCAGGCCCAGCCTGTCCTGGGACTGGGTTTGAGTCTAGTGTCTTCCTAGATGCACTGGGTTCAGAGCCTGGTATGGGAAGAAGAGGTCAACCTGGATTTTCTCCGTTCAAACCTGGGGCAGCCAAACTGTTGCTTTGCTGCTTCCTTGCACTTGCCGTGGGCTGGGAGGGAGAACACAGGCACCTTGGGGCAGAGGGAGACCAGGGTGTTCCTTGGTGTACACTAGATCAGCCCAGATGCTGCTGACTTGGCTCTCTGGCTTGGTGCTTCTCTGTGGGCCCTGAGCAGTGGATGACCTGCTCTGGTCCCCTCCAGCCTCTGCCCCTGCTCCATGGGGGAGCTCTCGGGAGGCTGTTGGGGGGGGGGGCATGGGGTGCTCCAACAGGAGTGGGGTCTGACAGGGGAGTCCACTGATGGGAGGCTTATGGGGTGCTCTGTGTGTGTGGGGAAAGCTATGGGCAAAAGC